GAGGTATGGTAATGGACAGTTTGACAGGCCTTGGGGTTTATTGCTGGTAGGAGACAGGCTCTATGTGTCTGATTATAATCTTGATCGTGTGCAGTATTTCTCAGCTACTACTGGTCAGTATATTGGTCAGTTTGGTAGTAAAGGTAATGGAAATGGACAATTCTCTAATCCTGAAGGTATGTCTACTGATGGTAAAGGTAATATATTAGTAGCTGATTACAACAACAGTAGAGTACAAGTGTTTAAAGAAGATGGTACATTTGTACAAGTCATACAATGTGATGGCAATGCATCTGATGTAGCAGTTGATAATGAAGGAAAGATACATGTTACCATTCATAATCAACATCATGTTCAAGTCTTCTCTCCTGATGGTAAAACTCATCTTGATACATACAATAATCCAGCTGGTAACTTTAAATGTCCTGATGGTATTGCTATCATTGATGATGAAGGATATATCTTCGTATCAGCTTATAATGGTGGCACCTCTTATCTTCACGTATTGAGTCCTGACAGGAAACAAGTCAAATTAATCTCAGGATTATCTTGTCCAAAGGGTGGAGCACTGGATAAGGATGGATATATTTATGTTGCTGAATATGGCAATAAACGTATAACAAAATATTAAAGTAACCGTTCCAATAAAACTCCAATAAACTAGATCTCATACTAGAAAACAGTTTATTATTTCTTGTATGAAATGACATTTTTGTTTTGTCACTCTCTATTTTTTCCCTTCCATCTCTTTTTTACACATACACACACTCTCTCCTCTCTAATTTAAGTGACTATTAATTATTATTGTTATTAATAGATTAATATGATTCAAAATTATGAAAATAAAGAAAAAGTAGAAAATCTCAAAATATCATCATCATCATTATATACTAGTACATACACATGTTCCTAGTGTACACTATAATACATTATACATATGTTTTATACATCATAGTTAGATCACTAGGTGAATCAGTACCTGATAATAAACTGGGTCTACTCTCTCTTCCATTTCTATTTGAATTTAAACTAGTTGTTTCTAAATAATCACGTAAATATGCAACTGCTAATGGCTGACGTCTTGACACAATATTAACCAGTGTTGCTGGTACTCCTCCCATATCAACCTATTCAATGTACGTCATGTTTAACTCGACCCACAACCACACCCCCTGCACAAGATACGTGACTTGTGTGAGTAGTTTTTCTTTATAGCGACATAGATATTAGAGTTAAAAGTTCCTTTTAACTCTAATATCTATGATAGCGATAAGGTTCAATGACCCACCCACTAGTCATGACCTAGTAAAACTTTGTATATTCTAGTAATCTCGTTATATCTCTCTAACCTTTCCTCTTGTGCAGTTTCACATTATATAATACAAGTTCCACATCACAAATGATTGTACACTCTAAACCAAATTAATACAAATACATTAATTATTATAGTACAGTATTATACCTGTGCAAACAGTTCTTCATTGAAGAGCACATTTTGACCTGATTTAAGTATCTGCTCCCATGGAGTTAACATCAACTGTTGCTTATGAAGCTCAATGAAACAAGACGGCAACAAAGAATCAAGAGAAACAACCTCTGGAACAAAAACCACATCAACATGTACACATAGATGACATGTACAATCATATGATAGTCATGTGACATACCATTACCTTTAATAGGTCTGTCTGCTAGGAATATAACTACTTCACTCCTTCCTCTTAATTCTTGAGGTACCACTACTGACAGTATATCATTAGTCCCTTCAATTCCTTTATGAACCTCAAACTGAACTGACTGAGCATATATTGAACCAGCTGCAATAAATAATGATAGTAATGATTTGAGAAAATTTTTCATTTATATATTTTTCAGAGACTTATATGTTCTTATGTTGTGCAACAAGTTTGAGCTGATTCCGATAAAAATTAGATTATTTAAACAAATTTTAAAGATACTCAAAAATCGGGCCAAATTCCCTATACTATAGCACAGGGTTGTTGGCCAAAAATGAAAGGGTGAGAATTTTCCACTTTTATAATTTGTTCTGATGCACATACACGTTCTTATGTTGTGTAGAAAGTTTGAGCTGACTCTGATCAACTTTGGATTTTTTACGAATTTTTTTAAGTTGCTCCAAAATCGGGCAAAAGTCCCTGTACGAGCCAATTTTCACCAAAAATAAAAAGGCAAAAATTCTCCACTTTTATAATTTTTCCTGATACATATACATGTTCTCATGTTGTGT